TCATTAATCATCCTAGCTACTGTATGAACCAGAGTACACTGTGTCCTGCATAGGTAACCTCACAGAAGACAAGACCCATGTGTGAATGTCTGCGCCACATATGAACACTGGAAATATCTTTAAACCAGCATCTAGTAGCATCCTAGTGATGACACGAGTCCACCCTTGTTCCCATACTAGGCACATGTGAGAACAGATTTTTCAGTCCGGAAAAGAGAACATTTGGAAAAGAATATCAAGAATGGGAATTTTCCATACTAGTGCGATCACAAATTTATACTTAGTTCTCTGAATCCTATTCTCTTACAGTTATCACTGTAAAATGGGAGTCATAGTCACAGCATGACTTGACAATAAAAATAAGCAGACAACAGCATCACAATTAATTTTCATGCTCATACTGAATGACTACATGTTTGGATCATGATACATCACCATGAGGTGGATCCAAATTAAATAACTGCAGAGTCAATGAATTTCTATAAAATGGATTCATAAAGAATAAATAAAACGCAAGAATCTGGCCCTTCAACCCTCAGGCCCCACCCAGGTCTAGCGAATGGCAGCAACATGCCTACCTGGTTTCCTGAATATCCGGTTTTGGTGAGTTAACCGAGACTCCATCTGCCTCAGCACCCCACTTTTTGGTTTACGTTGGAACTGTTTTACTAATGACATTAAGCCCCCCGCAAAAAGTGCCACTGCTCACCTCAAGCAACGCTGTATGAATTCATTTACAACCTCTATAATGTTACCTAACATTGTAACAAGAGAGCTAGAACTATCTATCTCATATGACACAAACCTTTAGCACAGCATGCGCTTGCAGGCGGTGAACAGTTCAAGAGGCGAAGGCACTGCATGAAACTTGCTGACTAGGAACAACTTCTCTCCACTGATGCCACACCAGGACTGTTGGCATACAGTAACACTTATATACACACAGCATCACCAACTGTTCATCTCCACACACACATTATGACTGGTCAATATTTCCAATTTCTTTGCAGCACCCTCCTGATTCAAGACGTCTTACTCTCACGTCCACTTTAGCACCTTCAGGGCACAGACCCCTGGTAGGTCCTATGCAATAAAGGGGGATGCAGAAAATTGCTGGTGTCATCTCCCAGTCTGAAGTCATCTGACTCATCATGGACCTCTGGCAGTGGGGAGTGGGGAAAGACTACCCTGAGTCTGGGTACAGCACCATGTCAGAAAAGTAAATGTCGCTTGACATAACTGAGTTGATTGGTCGTACAATGTCAAAACATGTTTCAGCTCATGGAGCCATCATCAGGTGATATGTTAACAAACCTTATACTATTGTATTATACCTCATATATGGATTCATGGAAAGGAAGATCCTGTGTGGCTCCTGCTCTCAGGAACTCAGCATCCTTCATGGCTGGGAACAGCTACCCTTCACTGATACAGCCATTCAGGGCCTGCCTGCATAGAGAGCACAGATAAACCAATATAAATTCTTAATATACGTATATGTATATCTCTCTCTGTGCGCACATATATGTGTGTGTGTCCTACCCTGGCCAGCTTCATGCCCACTGCGTAGTTCTGCTGATATATTTTGCACCATATCCTCAGGTAGGTTGACTCTACAGCACTCACTCAACAGCGGATTATCAGTGAATAATGAAAAATGCAAAGGAAGTAGTTGGGCCTAATTTGAAGAACTAGTCTGAGACTCCACAAACCTAAGAAATTCCTCCTCATCCATCAAGAGAGATCTCTGGGATGAGATGTGTCTGAGGCCTCTAGAATACACACATGGCTAATGACTAAAAATATTCAGTCTCAGAACAGTAGAGTTCATCTCACATGTTACATACCTCTCACACAGGATGTCTTCACAGAACATATAGGAAGAGCGGGGAATCTGTTACATGTTTCTCTCACTCTAACATCGGTTGTGATGACAGTCTCTTCTCAGGCGCCTCTACAGTAGTGACAAATAGTAATTATTATACAATGCTTACATGATCATTAATTATAATCACGTTAGTTATTCAGATGTCTTTTCATTAGGTATTTTGAACACCGTCTGCAGCCCCAGTTTCTTCAAACCATGCCGTTCGATAAACACATTCTGTTTCCTTGGTACTGGCAGGGTAACTAAACTGTGGCCAACCAGGCAGGATGCCTTACCTTATCCTGTAACCTGAGGATGGAAACAGGACACAAACACGAATACTCTATACATGGCTGACTTATATGATGAACATTATGCACGCTCCTATGTACTATAATAACTGTCCACTTACTGCAAAATTTCATGTCGACACAATTTGAATACTTAATACTGACATTACATACACCACACTCTTATGAAATTTGGTTTAATTAAATAAAGAAATTCCACTCCATTCCACCTATCTATCTCTGGCTCTACAGCCCTTGTGGACCTTGGCCCCAACGATCCCCGTCTACATGGGGGTCTACATGGGCCGCTTTGGGCCCTAAAGGCCTTTAAGGCCAGCCCCGTGCAACTCCCGTGTTATTGGTTGGAAACGTGGCGGCCATGACACCTCGGTGCAAGGCTATCACCACTAGATGGCAGCATTAATCCTGTGGCAATTGATGACATTCGATTGCCATCGGACTTATGCTGCCATCTAGTGGTGATAGCCCCAAATGCCTCATTCAATCATCGCCACTAGATGGCAGCATTATATTCCATTGCCACCGGACTAATTCTGCCATCTAGTGACGATAGCCTCAAGTACCTCATTCAAATATGCAACACCCCCACATCAGTGATTTTCAAACTGTGGGGCGCGACCCCCAGGGGGGGGGCGCAGCATACTTTCCTACAGATAAAAATTAAAACTAACCTTACCAATTAGAAAAGTAACAAAAAATAAAAATACATATAGAAAAACTTTTGATGAGTACAGGCTTTAATTATCATGAATTTCAAAATAACTAATAATTATTCTCTTTACCGGCAATTATAAAACGCGTATGCCAGAGACAGCGTTGATAGTTCGGCAGCAGCCGCATCCTCTGAAATCCTCCGAAGTCTAAACTTTTTAAAATGCTGTGTGAGGAAATGGGTGCCGAACACACTGCTCTGTTATTTTTTTGTGATGCTCGATGGCTTTCAAGAGGCAAGGTATTAAAGAGAATGGTTCTGTTTTTTAAATGGGGAAAATCGCTCACTGGCAGACAGTTTCAACAACAAGGATTTTTATTGAAAATGGCTTACTTCACAGATATATTTGAGAAACTAAATATCCTCAACACTTCACTTCAAGGGAATGAGGCAACTNGAGAGGGCCGACCTCGCTGGTAGAACGGGGCTGATAGCGAGCACCAGTACTGGAAGGCATGGCGACTACTTAGAATAATTAAAGGGAGACGCACAATAGATTAATAAATGGTCGCAGTGCATGGGGTAACCTACCCCGTCCTAATAATAATAATAATAATACCTACGTTACATTGCTACTCCTCAAATAACCACACTCCTATGTCCTCACGAAAGCGCCACTCGATGCGTGAAATTGCATTAATTCACAGTTCCAGGGTCACAACAAAGAGCCAGCCCGTATAAATGTGGTAATGCTTCCAATAATTTAAAATTAAATAATTTTTGGATTAAGCGTTTTTATCGTTTCCGCTTTGATTGACATAAATAAATTATAAAGAGAAAACGTTGCCTGTATTTAATTATCATGCCATGAAGGATGGGGAGTAGTTGGAGATGAATGCTCAGCTTCAGGCTCCGGCAACTTTATCCTGGGAAAAGTATATCGGATATTCATTGACTATGTGGGGCTGATCGCTGCAGAGAAGAGAAAATATCTCCCGCCGAGAATTACACCTCGATTCCTCGACCGTTCAGTCCGTACCCCCTCACAGAAAATGTTGTACTGGTATTAATACTGCAATCTTCTGGGACTTATACCGCGTAGTCTACTAGTAACCAACGGCTGAGCGGAAATTTCGCCTTCCTTCTTCAGGAGAGGACAAGCGTAGCGTCAGATTCTAGACGACTCACTGCCACGATAACTCCGTTTCTTATGTTTGTAGTTTACTTGTACTCTTCTCCAAGTAATTAGAATGATGAAGTCAAGGAGGATGAAGTGGGCAGGTCATGTAGCACGAATGGGGGAGACGAGGAATGCGTATAGGATATTGGTGGGAAAGCCAAAAGGAAATAGACCACAGGGAAGACCAAGGCGTAGGTGGGTGGACAATATTATAAGGGATCTTAGAGAGATATGATGGTATGGACTGGATAGATCTGGCTCAGGATAGGGACCAGTGGAGGGCTCTTGTGAACACGGTGATGAACCTTCGGGTTCCATAAGATGCTGGGAAATTGAGTAGCTGCAGAATTGGCGGCTCCTACAGAAGGGCTCAGCTCCATGAGTAAGTAAATAGTTTACTTAATAACGCCCCCAGGAACTCAAGACTCCATACCTTCGGGTGATGAATGAATAATGAACCGGAAATGAAGTGGCAGGAATTGGTGGTAGTATAATTTGAGGTACTATCCGGGCACTTGTCTGCCTTCGGTGAGGAAATCCACGAAAGTCAGCAGTCAAAATGGCCGGTCTCCAGGCCAAGTTTCGAAACTGGGAACTACCGAATTAGACCCAGTATCTGCAACCTCTCAGTCCCGACGTTTCGTGATCTGTGGTTCTGTATGATTATGAAAAACTGGCGTGTAGAGCCTTTGATATACAATGACCGCGAGATAAGCAAAAATACCAGAGCAATTTCTAAGCAATGGCTCGGTAAACACGTTCCCACGGCAGCGGATAGACATTCAAAAATATGGTTATTCTTGGAAACAGTTTTCTATTGTTGTATGCGTATCCGTTGGCCGCGGAAATGTGTTTACCGAGCCGTTGCCTAGAAATGGCTCTGGTATTTTTGCCTATCTCGCGGTCGTTGCATAACAATGGTTCTACACGTAGTTTTCATAATCATATAGAACGCTAGATCACGAAACGTCGGGATTGAAAGGTTGCAAATGCTATCTCGATATGTCGCTCTTCTGCTCTTATAGCCAAATTTCTCACTGAATCTACCTCATTCAGGAAATGAGCAGGGCGTTCGTCTTCCTCCTCCATTGTCCTCATTGAATCACTGAGTAACTGAATAAAACATTCGCCTTGCGTCTTCATAATCATCCTCAATATTTCCGTTACCCACTGCGGCCCCAGAGCCCGTCGGGCCGCTCCGAAGAAAAAAAAATGTTGCAACACATAGCTATACCGAATGAGTTACTAAGGCGCGAACGAATATGGGAACGAAGTGAAACTTTGAATTTGGGACTATATCTAAGGAATGTTCCTTGTTCTGGAACTGTATTACTGTGAATTATGAGCAGAATGGACCACTAAATGGTGATAGAATTGCTTCACATTTCTCTGTGTTATCCAGACCGGCTCTGGGGTCCACCCAGCCTCCTATCCAATGGGTATCGGGGGCTCTTTACCTGGGGGGTAGAGCGGCCGGGGTGTGAAGCTGACAACTCACCTCCAACTAGTGCCGAGGTCAAGAAAACGTGGATTTATACATCCACTCCCCCGTACGTATTCATTGCGTAGTCCTTAACTAATTAAGCACAGGGACAAATTTACCTTTTTTACCCAATTCTGTGTTTACCTTAACAATCGGCTTCACCATGGCGCAGGATGTCACGGAAGTGGGCCTGTCATGTAAATTGAATACCACTGAGTCACCATCACTGCACATGTGGCATGTTTCATACAAGAATTAATTTAATATTGCTGAACTTGTAGAAAGGAATGGAGGGATTTGGTGATGAATGAGGATCCTTCAGGTTCTATAAAGAGATAACTTCTTGAACAATTGAACACTCAGTAGCGATGGCCATGCAATAGGAATATATTTAACAAGAATGAATTGAAGTTAGCTTTTATCCTGTTTGGCCAAGGAACGATGCAGTCCCCTTAATTTCAAATTATTAGCTATGTGGTCTAAAAGAACTGACTTGAAACGAAGCATATGATTTCACGTCAGTGGTTTACACTGTTACAGTATTCTTTGTTTCAGCACATTTTGGACACTAACTATGACGTTTTGCAAACGTGCACCGACGAAAATTAACGTTTGACACCTTTTATATATACCACAGAACGTAGTGTAATAAGCAGTGAATGATAATCACACAACTTTAGTGCGATCAATCTACTTATTAGTTCCATCATGTCCATCTGTATGTCTGCAATATCACACTGCCTTGCCTATGTTAACCAAACTGCGTTTCACGGACCAATACAAAATTTTATCAAGGTAATGTTTTATTCTTGTCTAGTTTCTTCACTTTAGGGGGCGTGTTACTGCATACATCAGCATTTATGTGTAACTGTGGTTTTTGACAGATTCTGATGAGATTTTATCCCTGATATATTACATTAGCATGACTGTGTACGGTTCCGTCCACATAAGTTGGTTCTAAGCCCCTCATTACTGAAACACTTGAACATATTTTGCAATGTTTACATCAAGCACTCAGATGAGAAAATGAGTTACTGCATAAAGGTCACAAGGATGAATAAACTATACACCCAATTATATAACGTTTGCAAGTAACACGTCATTTCGAGAAAATCACTAGCATTGAAAAGATAATGAGTATTTATTTGAGCACCATCAAAATTCTTGTCCCAATTCTTGTCTTCGCCCTGAACTTGATAATCTGGTCAATTTACAGCCATTTACGCTAGCAGAGAGGTGAAAACTTAAGCATTTGGAGCCCCCCCTCCCACAAGGATGATTTTTTTTTAAATAATCAAGACTGAATGAAGAAAGGAAATTGCCAGTATATCAACATCTTTTAAGTTAGTAAAAATATTTCTTTAAAGGTTTAAACGTGCTTGTGAGCAAATATTTTGCCTGCCCCTCCCCTTGGAAAATCTTTTGGAGGGGCGTTATATTTAAGTTAGACTGACGCCGAGCATAAGCAAAATAGGATGACCTCATAAAAATTTTTATGCAGTCAATATATGACAACTCTGCTCTGTAAAAAAAAAAAAGTTGCGAAATGCAAAGGAACGGTAACAGGACTGAATCTGGCAGAATATTCTAAGGTAAGCTAAGGCCCAAACACGGCTGTTTCGCCCATATGAATATCAGGAAACGGCAATAACAAGCGGAAATTATAGTACGGAAATGCAAGCAGACCGTTCTTATTGGAAATGTCCAAACTGTCGGCCATTAGTGCTCAGACAGAAGACTTGCCGGTACATTAATCTGGAACACGCTGTATAGTATGTATAATGTATTTACGTTCATACTGAATTGAAATGAGCTGAGTATAAACTGGCAGTTTCGTACCTAAAAATTATTTAAATTACCAAATGTTTAAAACTCAGCACAATTAAAATAAAAGGACCGACAGACAAACACGAAGAAACTAACAGGCATGTAGGAATTGTCAAGGAAGATTGCGAATAACTGTAACAATGTTTTCAGTTTCGGAGATGCATCGTTCTTTGTTTCACCCGCTCGCCACGCTGAGGCACA